GATGAAGAAGTTTTATATAAATTTTTACTAGATTTATAATTTTATTAGAGTAGGTGTTTCCTAAAATAAAAGGTGTTTTTAAAAATGTGTCCTTGGGACAAATTTTTTATTTTAATAATAGGAAAACTCGTGAAAAAAATTGACACGTGACCAGTTAAAAAAAAATCTTTTTCGCCCTCGCGTGGTTTTGGGAGGCTGGTACTTCCTCGGGCGAAAAAGCAGTTTTCCGGAACTCGTTCGAAAAGTCTCCTTTACGAACCTCGTTACGGCTCGGGCCGCAACCTCTCGGTTCGCAAACAGAGACTTTTCAAACTCGTAGGAAAACTACTATTTTAACTTTGATAAATTAAATGTGTGTCAATATTTTTTTTTCAATTTTCTCAAAATTTATATAATCATTACTTTAAGGCGCAACTTTATGAAATCTACTATCACTTTCATTTCAACAACATTTAATATACTAATACAAAATTGTATACGAAAAAAGTTAGTGGCAATTTGAAGACCATGGGGTTCCTCTGAATTGAACAATTAATGAAAAAAATTACGTATATTTTCCGTAGGTTTTAATAAAAACACTACTAAACTATCTCTTCAATTTATATAATTTTAATAGAACTGACAGTCACATATTGATAATATTACAGTTAATAAAAGTTGCTACATGTGTAATCAGTCAAATTATTATATATTGATCTCCTCTATCTACATTGCGCTATACATATTTTTTTTTTAATTTATAGAAAAAAGGTCGAAGCGGATAAATTGCCTTTTTTCACTGCTTTGTAATTTTAATTGACAAAGTTTTTCACACTTCAGCGATTTTCACTATAAAAGTAAGCGCTACGTTTCTATAAATTAAAAAAAACATAGATAGCATAATTTAGATGGAGGAGGTCAATATAAATTAATTTGACTGATTACACATAATACTTACCCATCCAGTAATAACATCAATATCTACAAAAATTGCTACACTTGCTTATGGTGTGTATGATGGACGTGAAACATTTAAATCGATCGAGTTCATTAAAATACCCTACAGTTATTCATAACAGTTTTCAAAAATCGTCGATCTTACGAGAGAAGTATTTACGAGACGCGTGCACATTTCTAACCTCAAATGGGATCTCTCTCTCGCACCCCCCGCCAAGGGCAGTCAGTCTCCTTAAAACGAAATTCGAATGACGGAAGAAATTAACGCACTACCGCACCAGAAACTCTATGTGTGTGTGTATACAATTACATACATACAAAGGCAATAAATGAGTATACGAACACAGAGAGAGAAGAATTCGTAATCGTAGCTGTAAAAGGGCGGGAATGCATGGAAGGAAGACAAACAGTTCCTATACCCAGTGGTGCTCAGTATACTGCATAAACATATACCGTGTACTGGTCGCAGTTTCAATGCTCTCTCAGCTTTGCTACTTCAAGGTATGAGCAACACTGCGTGTATGTCTACTGCTGGTTCTCCTTCCCAGCTGCGAATTCTTTTCTTCGTGTGTAGGGAATTGCCAAGCAGTTGTTGACGAATAGAGCCAATGAAGGTTGCTACCATCTCTTAGGTTCATAGAAAATTTGAAAGTAAAACGATTATAACTGTAGCCGAAAGAACGTTATGATGTTAATGATAACGACAATACTAGTAAAATTGTTATCCAAAGAAGTTTTTATGAAATTTGATCAGGGTTGAGTGAATGTGAAGTGTTGCTATTGTCTCCAATGTTATATTGCACGTTGATTTGTTTGAGTGAGATTTCAATTTCCATGGTCTTCGTAAAGAAAAGGTTAGGCAAATGTTTAATTTAAATCACTCATAGTAGATATTTACGTTAGTCAATAAAGATTTGAGATGTTTAATTTTTTAATTATTTTTATTGTCTTCGATATGATAGTTTGCGTTGACAAAGTAAATTCATTAAATTTTTCTCACCTACAATATATTATTAAATTAAAGTTATGCTGCAAAATATTTTATAACTCAAATTTTTCCAACCCTTTTTCAGCTCAATTTATTTTACACTCACGTTGTCCTGTTGCAACAGTTGAATCTCCAGTTATAGAATAAATTATCTCCAAAGCCCAAATGGACTATAATCACAAGTAATAAAAAATACTGGTGTTGACTGCACAGACACGTTTTATCATTACCAGAGGAGTTTACCAGAAAACCTCGTTTCATGGCGGCAAAGAAACAACTCGACAAAAGACTCCGTCACAAGTGCCAATTTTGTGAGAAACAGTTTCCATTCAAAAGTTATCTCATAACACACGTGCGACAACACACTGGGGAGCGCCCTTACAAGTGCAACATACGTGGATGCAAAAAAGCTTATGCCTTGAAAGGTACTTTGCAAATACATTTGAACACACACATCAACAAACGATTCTACAAGTGCCAAGAACCCGATTGTGGAAAAGCTTACAGTTATAAAGGTACTTTGCAAAGCCACGTGCGCACCCACACTGGCGAACGTCCCTACAAGTGCCGGGTGCCCCGATGTGGTAAAGCTTTTTATAACAGTGGGGATCTAAGAAAACACACGCGCATCCACACCGGCGAACGTCCCTACAAGTGCACCGAACCTGGATGTGGGAAATCTTTTACCGAAGGTAGTGTCCTAAAGAAGCACACGCGCACCCACACCGGTGAGCACCCGTACAAGTGCAATGAACTTGGATGTAAAAAAGCTTTTACTCAACTGAGTAATCTCAAAAGGCACGTGAGTTTGCACACCGTTGAGTTTCCCTACCAATGTGATGAGTGTGGACAAGATTTCGCTAACAAAAACTATCTCAAAAAACACATGCGTGTCCACACTGGCGAGCGTCCTTACAAGTGCACTGAACCTGGATGCGGAAAAGCTTTTGGACAAAGCGATGGTTTGAAGAAGCACACGCGCACCCACACCGGCGAGCGTCCCTTCGAGTGCAAGGAGCCCGGATGTGGGAAATCTTTTAGTCAGCAAACTTCACTCTTATCACACATACGCACACACACCGGCGAGCGTCCCTTCCAGTGCAAGGAACTTGGATGTGGAAAGGCTTATGCTCAACGAGGAAGTCTTTTACTGCACATACGTACACATACGTGAACTTGGATGTGGAGAATCTTTTAGCCAAATTTGTGGTTTCAAAAAATACACGTACAGCCAGACTTACGAGGGTCCTATGTCTGTAAGATAACTGGATCTGGAAAATCTTGTGGCCAAAGTGGTGAAATCAAGAGACACATGTGTACCCATGTTGGCAAACGTCCTTTGAGTGCAATAAACGTGGGTGTTGGTAAGATTTGGCTGAAGCACTGGTGGGCTAACGCGCCAAATACGAAATAAGTTTTTTTTTTTTATAAAGAGTTTTCAAACACATGTTACGTAAGCACTTACTGTTAAACAGATAAGTTACACGTAGTGGTTCTGGCGTTTTTGTACATCGTAATATTGTGCGTATAAACTGTGGTTATAAGTGGTTATAAACTGATTCACGTGTGGTTTGCTCGAGTTTTATCTTAAAAGACAATTTTTTTCAAAAGCGTTTGAAATTTGGTGTATGAGTAATTAACACTGCTGTAAGCATAAGTACTTAAAATTTATAAAAACTGGAATGCTATACTTAAGAAGCGCAAAATCTTAATTTCAATAATAATATTGTCAACCTTTTGAATTTCCAGTTGATATTTTCGTTGAATATTTACTATCAATATTTATAAGTAGCATATGTTGTATTAAACTATGTGTCCATGTACGACAGTCTAGTTTCTCGTGCTGGTCAACTACTCAATTCCAAAATACATTTTGGTTAAACCCAGGAAATACTACAATTTCAAATTGATGATGCCCGTTGGTGATTTACAAGCAATTTAGATCCACCCGATACTTGATCAGTGATTGTTGAGAAATGGAGGCAGATCATGTGGGGGACCCCACCGCCGAAAGTTCCCACAAGTGCAGTGAACCCGGTTGTGGAAAAACATTTATAGAAAGTGGTAAACTCAAGAGACACATGCGCACCCACACTAACGTACGTCCCTTCGAGTGCGAGGAACCCGGTTGTGGCAAAACTTTTAGGCAAAGTACTGATCTCAAGAGACACAAGTTTACCCACACCGGCGAGCGTCCCTTCAAGTGCAAAGAGCCCGGATGTGGAAAAGCATTTTCTCAACAGTATAATCTATCAGCACACACGCGCACCCACACTGGCTATCGTCCTCACAAGTGCAAAGAGCCCGGATGTGGAAAAGCCTTTGTTCAACAGTACAGTCTTTCGATACACATGCAATCCCATGCGGGTCAACGGATCTACGAGTGCAATCACCCTGGATGTGGGAAAAAGTTCATCCACAAGAACAACCTTAGGAACCACAAAAATTTGCACATCGACGAGTTCCCTTACAAGTGCGACGAATGCAAGCAAGAGTTTTCTTACAAAAAAGGACTTGTTATTCACATGCGCGTGCACACCGGCGAGCGGCCCTACAAGTGCGAAGAGCCCGGATGTGAAAAAGCTTTTGCTGATCAAAGTACGTTCAAAAACCACACTCGCACCCACACCGGCGAGCGTCCCTTTGAGTGCAAGGAGCCCGGGTGTGGAAAAGCTTTCAACCAACGAGGTAATCTCTTGACGCACGCCCGCATCCACTCAGGCTATCGTCCCTTCAAGTGCAAGGAACCCGGATGTGGAAAATCATTCACCCAACGATGCAGCCTCTTGTTGCACACGCGCTTACACACTGGCTATCGTCCCTACAAGTGCCAAGAACCTAATTGTGAAAGATCTTTCGTGCACAAGAGTGACCTCAAGAAGCACACGCGCACCCACACCGGCGAACGTCCGTACAAGTGCACCGAACCTGGATGTGGAAAAACGTTTACTCAACGAAATAATTTGTCATTGCACATGCGCACACATACCGAATACAAAGCTTTTGTACAATAAAGTAATGTTAAGCTTGCGCACTCTATGACTGGGAGGAACGTGAGTGTAAGGAAACTTGTACTCAAAAAAGTATGTCAATAATATAGTAATTTAATAAACACGTGCTTACTGGTAAACAGTCGAATTAAACATAGTGATATTGGCTTCCTGGTACTGTACAAGTTATCATGATTAAGGTAGAAGTGAATCTGTTGCTTCGATTTGTAGACCATTTATTTTTTCTACGCAGTCAAAAAACAATCTGTAAAAATGTGTTTTAGGTAAACCGAATTACCGTTGTGTGATCTATTGACAAATAATTTGTACCGAAAAAAGCGATCCAATTCAATAATACAATAACGACAGTGTATGTTAAATGACAGATACTTGGTTTTTGTTTTTACTGCGCTTTATAATTACTATTAAGTTATTGCCGCATTTATCAATTTAGTTACCACATATTTTTATTCACAATAAATTTTAAATAGTAAATATACTTATGCGTGTAGTCATGGTAAATGCTACTATAAGTCAACACTAAGTTACATAACTGTAGATAATTATTGTAAATTTATACATTTTTGTAAATATTTTGTATCGAATAAAATATTAAAGCTACTCTTAGTTCGTTTTAGTAGTTTTTTAAAATTTGATATTTAAACATTTTATTCTTAATATATGTGTATATGAATCATAAATTTAAAACAATTTAGTAGAAATTGCAAAGAATCCCTGGTTATGCAAAAGTTACCTGTAAAACAATAACTTTTATTATTTATTTTACTTGAAATGATTGATATACCTATAACTGCAGTTTGCCCAGAATCTAGTTTATTGTGTCTTTTGTCGTACAGTCACATTGTATGATACTTTGAGGGGCGTAAAGGCGTTAATGGAGGTGGAGGGATGATAAATTTTTTTATTGATCAATGAGATTTTTTAAAATTAAATTATTTATAATAAGTCTGAACTTGGAAGTGAAAAATCTTTTAGACAAATTTGTGTTCTCAAAAAACATACGTATCTATACTCAGACTGACGAGCGTCCGTGTAGTCACTACGTGTCTAGATGTGGAAAATCGTATTACTGAACGAATACTAAGAAGTAAAAATCTACCATCGATATTTCAACTATTAATAATTTCTTTACAGTCATTAACTTCAAAAATATGTCTTAGGTAAATCAAGTTAATTATGTATGATCCACAGACCTTTGCAGTATTTTCTATCAACTTGACAAACTTTATTATTAAATTTTTATATTTTATATGTATATTATGGTCTATATTTTATAAAACATATGATAAAAATGAGGTATTGCAACAGTGATTAACGATGATCTTATATTTTTTTAGAAAATGAGAGTTCAAAGAATTTGAATTAGTTCATTTGGTTTTTGTTTAAAATTTTTTATTTTTAACATGAAGAGCACTAGAAATATCAAACTTCTTATACCAAGGACACAATAAAACTGTCTTCGGTGAGTCTCGTTACCGTACAAGTTTTGAATTCTGTTTTCGGTGGTTTTGCTAATTTTGGAAAGTAAAAATAGTCGCAAATATTAGTGCGTTAGCTTGCGATAATAAGCAATTTTAATCATGTTCTATTGATTATATTATATTTATTTAAAAATATCAACAATCAGCTGTACAACAATACACATTAAAAGTGATCGTCGTTTCGCTGATCACCACCTACCAGCTGCACTGGGCCAATAGACACGATTCCAAAATCGTTGTTCTCATAAGAGCCCGTGTTAGATTATTGATTTTTTATTTTGAAATATCTCAATGGCTGTATCGCTGAGTATGCCCAAAAAACGTACGTTTGTTTATTATAACACATAGAATGAATTAAAAACTAAATTAGAATTCTCAAATATTGTCGATGATACGTATCGAACCTCCTTAAGTAAATGTCTTACTTTGCATGTATATTTTTTTAAACCAGTAGTCTTTATTGTTTGCTAAACAAATTGAAAATAGTTATTTTGATCACTGATTGGATGCGCACCAGGTGCGAATTCCAGTTTTGCAACTAAGGGTACAATAACTCTCCAAAGTTAAAAAAAAAAACAAAAAACGCCCAAGGTAGAGGGAAGAAATTTTTTTACTTAATTTAAATGCAGTTTCTATGCTCATGTAATATTAACGCTGAATCATTATAAGTAAGACATATTATTACATATTATATAAGTAAGATATTTGTATTACATATTATTAACTATGCACAACTGTCCAGTTTATTGTACTGGCCAACTATTCATTCTCAAAATACATTGTAATTGAACCCAGTAAACATTAAAATTTCAGATTGACGGTGCCACATGGTGATTTCACATTAATTTAGACCTGTCGAATACTTCATCAATTACATCGGGATTATCGAGAGATGGAGGCAGATCATGTGAGAAGCCACACTGATAAACGTTCCTATGAGTGTGGTGAGCCTGGTTGTGGAAAAATTTTTGGAGGAAAGGGTACGCTCACGAGACACATGCGTACTCACACTGGCGAGCGGCCATTTAAGTGCAACGAACCGGGTTGCGAAAAAACCTTTGTTTACAATCATGTTCTCAAGAAACACAAGTTTACCCATACTGGCGAACGCCCCTTCAAGTGCCGTGAACCCGATTGTGGAAAAACTTTCGGCCAAAGTGACATTCTCAAAAAACACATGCGTACCCACACCGGCGATCGTCCCTTCAAATGTATCGAACCCGGATGTGGAAAATCATTTGCTCAACAACACATTCTCTTAAGGCACGTACGCGTACATACTGGCGAACGTCCATATAAGTGTAATCAACCAGGATGTGGGAAAACTTTTAGAAATAGTTGTTATATCAAGAGACACATGCGTACCCACACTAACGAACGTCCCTTCAAGTGCGAGGAACTCGGTTGTGGAAAAGCTTTTAAACAACGAAATCATCTCTTCCAACACATTCCCACACACACTGGCAAGCGGCCCTCTGCGAGTGAAGAACCTCCACGTGGACAGGCTTTTGCTGATCAAAGTACATTGTAAAAACCAACATCAGTTTTTAAATAAAACTTTTTTTGAGGTTCACCCTTGGCGTAGGGCTTATTTTGCTGGTAATGTCATATACTATAAATTATTAATACGGGTTTTAGTAAGGGTGACACCCTTTTATGGTGATTTATATGTTAAAATTACATTTATGTAGATGATATGTACAGATGTAATTTTAACATGTAAATCATAAAAAAAGCTCGGTTTCACCTCCATTGAAACCCATGTTTATAAATATATTTTTTTTTTTCCTTATAGTGCATGACACAGCAAGTATATTAAGCCCTGTTCCATGGGTTAATCAGCACAAAAAAAATTTTAGTTTTTGTGGATTTCTTAATATCTATTTGTATATATTTTAAAGCCTGCAAAAGTTTATACAAATCATTACGTAATGCTTCACGTGCTTTACCATTAATTGAAGATGATAAATTATTTAAAGTGGATACGAGATGTTAAGCCAAAAGGCACTCGGCTTCAACTAGAGTGATTGGAACCTGCCTTAATGATATTTTTTCGGGGTTTCCTCCTGATCAGAATTAATGCCCTGAATAAAGAATTGCAGAATTGAACATTGATGTATTTTTATTTATTTAATAATACGATTCGTTAATTAATCTTATTTAAAAAACTCGAGATTATTTTGACTACTTTGAGAAGAGGGTTCCATAGGTATTTTAGGCATTCTAGAGTGTAAAAAGGATACAAGACAAGAAAAAAGGGGAAGAAAAAAGCCGATGAATTTCTCGATGAAAATTAATCAGACGACAAGACTTACGAATCAATACTTTTCTTGTTATTATTGCTAATCTTTTAAGTGATTTAAAAAGAGACTCGATGCGATATCATGTCAATCTTTTTTTATTATTTACTATACATTAACTTTTTCATTTTTTTACAAATAATTTTAGTAGACTGTGCTGGATACTACATGACTATTTTATAGCACTTGAAAGAGACCTTGATTTTATTTAACTTAAATCAAATTGTTCTGGACATATGTAAATATTGCCAATTGATATTAAATATTACATGTAATAAAGCATCCACGGAGTCACGAATCTGCACCATGTTTCAGGGCAATCAACACATGCGTACCCACACTAACGAACGTCTCCATGCATGTCGTAAAACTGGTTGTGGCAAAACTTATAAGCAAAATGCTGATCTCGAGAGACACACGCGCACCCACACTGGCGTGCGTCCCTTCAAGTGTGTGGAAAATCTTATGTAAGCAAACCTTATCTTATGGAACACATACGCACTCATACTGGCAAACATCCTTATAAGTGTAGTGCACCCGAATGTGGGAAAACTTTTGCACGACGTTCTTGTCTTTACAGACACACGTTTTCCCACACAGGCGGATATTCCTTTAAATGTATCGAGCCCGGGTGTGGAAAATCTTATGCTAAACAATGTAATTTCATGAAGCACTTAAGCTCACATACTGGCGAGCGTTCATTAGAAAGCAAGTAATATGGATGTAGAAAAGCTTTTAATTAAAAAAATACCCCTTTGAACACATTCGCTCACATAATATATATACGTTAGTGGGGCTCTGCCCACACTAACCCCTTGGTGCCGTTTAAGAAAATATCAATATAAATTTTTGTGCAAATTGATTTAATTCAGACTAAATATACATACTTTTTTTGCTTTGTCACGATTTATCCGCTTATCATGTTCCTTCCTATTGTTCTATGTAAAAATATCGAATAAAAAATGGATAAAAATATGTTGTATTTAAAAAAATTACGTAAGTTTAATTAAAAACGCAGTATCATCAGTGATTTTATGAATAATTATTATAAGTATGTAAATAATCAGATTCCAACAGTTTGTAATGTCAGAAATTACACCACAAATAAAAATTTTTTTTTCTGCGAAAAGATAAGTAAGGAAAAAAAATATCCTGCAAGCACAGACGAAAGAGGAGCATTGTTTTGCATATTACATTAGTATAAAAAGTAAGTATTTGTATTTTATTCTATCATACGCTATTTTTCTAGAATGGCAATCTTATTCAGAAAAAAATGGATTCAATTTGACAAATTTGTACGAATATTACACGCACCTAGAAAAAAATCATAAAAATTTAACTTTTTCGTATTTTGTTATTCTTTGACGTCTGATTTTTTAAGGAGTTCCATTACTATTTTAAATGCTGAGTTATTGCATTCAGGTTGAAATCTAGGATGAAATAAGACTCAACAATTCTAAAATTAACATATTAGCGCATATTTTTTACCAGAATAAATAGAAATTCATTTAAAATTTAAAAATTTTATGTTAGTATTATAACGAAGTCTTGAAAGTCGAAGGTTGTAAAGAGAAAAAATAAGATAAAAATTCTGAAAGTCCAAGCCGTAGATTAATCTCAGTCAAGAGGTAAAAATTTAGCAAGCAATCGTAGTTTTCGTCACGAAAGTGCATCCCTCCGTAGTTTCCGTTGGAACTGACCTGGCTGGATGCACATGAACAAATGCTTGAAAAATTTTTTTTTTTTCACAGTTTTCTTGAATATTAAAAATATTTTTAATTTCGTGGTACAATTCAAGTACAAATCATTCAAATAATCATGAGTACCCTTACATTATTTTACCATTGATGATGCAAAAATAAAATATACATCCAATAAATAAGTAAAAAATGTCTTCTTTCGCCACCATTAAATTTCTACTAATCCGCTCTCACATCTGTAACCTATACTTAATGTCGTCCGAGCAAACTCTCTCTCGTAATATTTCCTAATTTCATCAGAATAAAAAGTGATATTACCAAACAAACACTCAGCCAAATTAAAGAAGTGGCGTATATCTGTTCTCTGCTCCCCCCCTTTTTTCTATTAATTGAAAGGAAAGAAATCATTTTTTTTTAGTAATTAAAGCGCTGGCTATTGCGAGAACACGACAAAGACGAGAGAGAGAGAGAGAGAAAGGCCCAACATAGTCAATTAGCCCATCGCCATCCCGAGGGAGAAAATTAAACGGGCGCCGCGTCTCCTCGGACGAAATTCTCGCGCAAGATGCATGCTTCAACTGCACGAGCCGTGACAAGCTGCTCCTCAATTATTTTTATCATCCCGCCGCAACAGGCGCTCGCCTACTGATCAAAAGAGCTTTTTCTTTTTTTTTTTTTTTTTTACGGTGACTCTGTTACTCCGGATTGATAAAACCAGTTTTATTGAAAAATAAAAAAAAGGATAAATTTATCTTTCAAGAAAAAGCAAGTTTACCTCGTACTCATCCGCTCACCGAAAAGTTTCANCTCGTAAAGTCTATCATAACGGCTATAAGTGCGTAAGTGCAGTGTTTTCGAAAAAAAAGGTGTTTCATCAGCAAAAATTATACACGGTAGAAGCAACAACGAGTGTCTTTTTCCCTTCTTGGTTACACTGTAATCGGCGAAAAATCTCTCTCTCTCTCTCTCCTATACACTTACTCATCAAACGAAGGCTGTGGTGATAAATCCAAGCGTAAGCGCCGCGTGTACCACGTATATATTATATATACACACCGTGTCATTAAGGAATGCTGGGAAAGAGAGACTTCTCTTCTTTCAAGTACCCACATATTTTACGGTACACATATTATGCGCGATGTTTACCGTTGTTTCCACACTTTAGCGAGCCACACCGGTCCTCTTTTATACTCGTTGAGCACATTCTGGTTTTCTGTATCCTTTTTTTTTCCGCTGCCCGCGTGGACGCAATTACAAGCTCCTTGTACACTTTTATGGAAGAACATCACGTCTTTCCTCTAAGGTTCCACACACGGCGTGACATGCGTATCATGAGTATATACATGTAACATATTTGCGTATACAATCGTTCGTATAAATATAGAAAAATGATGATCCGCTGGCGCGTTGAGCGTAAGGTAATGTTTATTCTTGGATGATGGGATAACTCGTTGGTGTAAGGATGACGTAAAGCTTAATCATCAATCAAAGAGGAACATGTTACTCGCGCGCGGCGAAGACGTATAAGGACGATCGATAAACGGTCCGGCGTGTGGATCTAACGTGCGAAAACCGATTGGTGTGTGTACAATCTTACATCGGTATTATTAATAATGCAATTTAGCTGTAACGCAGTGCAAATGATGCAGTGATGTGGTTGATTTTTAAAAAGTAGTTTCTTCTAATTAAGTGGTTCTCAATTACGTGGCCTCGATACTTTGGTCTCTGTCTGTGATAGGTCAATATTTTTTCTTCTTGTATTTTTACGACTCTCATAGTGTGTTTTTGTCTCTGAGCTTTAATTTTAATCTTGTAATTGAGGAAATCCACAAAAATATTCCATTTTTAAATTAACAACATAAGATGTCACGAGATCTATTTTAATATGATTCAAAATAGGTGCGGCCCTTAACTTTTATCACTTTAATGATGCTTTTGTTTTTTCGCCACCCACGTGTGTCTTGATTTTTATGGCGTGTCTGCAAGTTGACCTCGATGTAACTGTGTAATGGATAAGACCTAACTGAAATGTTTATTTTACTAATATTAATTTATTCAGTAGGGAATTTTTTTTTTTTTTTTTTTATGTCGAGCAAATACGATGGCACTTAGAGTCTATTTACTTTTGGGAGTCATGAGGGATTGTAAAACCCCACTCTACGTGAGATACATGTGCCGAAAAATCATGCGATACCTAGAGCCTAAGGGCCTTCGAAATCATAATTCAGGTTTTTTTTTTCGTACCACCCAAACCTCCATCCGTTTCCCGGAGGTCAGACACTCCTCGTTAATACATCATACTCGACGGATAGAAATCAAAGAAGCGATAAGTAAAAATAAACACGCTATTCGACCTCGAAGCTTTTCTCTATACACTGACAAAAAAAAACACACACACACACACACACCCATGGATGGAAAAAACAAAGTCTTCGAGTTTAAAAGGTGCAAATTAATTTCACCAACGTGAGCGTGAATTTCTATTCCACGAATAAAAGCCGCATGCAAAGGCAATGCGTTGCAGTGCAATGATGAGTTCGCGTCGAGCTGAGAAACTGGTTTACCACGAGTAGTCCCTTTCCTGCTGCCACTTACTCTTTTTTTTTTTTTTTTTTTTTTTTTCGTCTTCTCCTTCGACCAGTAGCCTCGGCTAATTCGCCGTACAGGTATCCACCAACTGTTATTATAAACTA